GTGCCCCCCCCCCCCCCCTCCGGAATAGATCGTCAGGATCTGGAACAAGCAGAGAAGGTGGACGTTTTGCAGGAGCCTCTTCTGGAGGCACTGAAGATCTACGTGAGGAAGAGGAGGCCCCACAAACCGCACATGTTCCCCAAGATGCTGATGAAGATCACCGATTTGAGAAGCATTAGCGCCAAAGGTGCTTTTCTTTTCTTTTCTTTTCGTGCGTTTGAATGAGATTGTCACAGTCTCAAGAAGAAGACTTTTTTGTTTTAAATGACCGTTTTATGCTCACGGTATTTTTATTTTTATTTTTTGCAATAGGGGCTGAGCGCGTCATCACGCTGAAAATGGAGATCCCGGGCTCCATGCCTCCCCTCATCCAGGAGATGCTGGAGAACTCCGAAGGTCTGGAGAGCGGCGCCGCGGGAGGCCGTCCCTGCGGCACCCCGCCGGGCAGCTGTAGCCCCAGTTTGTCCCCAAGCTCCGCCCAAAGCAGTCCAGCCACACAATCGCCGTAGTAACGGCCCACCTTGGGTTGTGTCTGTTTGTTTGTTTTCACACACGCCGGTCAGTCAGAGGAGGGGCGAAGGAGGAGGCCTTGACTGCTGACGGATGGAGACCTTCCTCCCCTTGGTCCGCTTTTCCTCACGCGAGGGGAGGCACGGCCGGCCGGGGCACGCCGCGCCGCCGCCCAGAGACCACACCGTAAACACTGCTGATGACTCCGCCCCTCCTCCTTCTCCTCCTCCTCCTCCTCGTCTTCTTCCTCACTCCACTGCCGCGCTGCTCTCCACTTCTCTCCAGAAGGCTGTTGGAATGTCGCATGAATGCAGTGTGCAGCACAGGAAGCGAGAGTGGCCAGGTTGGGAAGTGACAGGCTTCTGGACAGATTTGACAAACACCAGACACTTTTTTTTTTCCTTTCTTTTCGTTGTTGTTGATGTTGTTGCTGTTGATGATGATGCAGACTACAAGCTCGGGGCTTGTCAAAAGACCCTCCTCCTCTTCCGCCTCCTCTTACTTCCTCCTCAGAGACTCTGGGTCTTTTCTCTTTTCCCAGCTTCGAAAAGAAAAAGAAAAAAAAAACAAAAAAACAAACGGATTTCGTACACAAAGATATATATAAATATATAGAAAAGTTAAGGAACTATTGTGATTGAATGGGAGGCCGTAACGAGGACGTGTTTTCTGAGATTAGATTGTCGTACTCCCTCACTGTTTTACCCATCATGAGAGGAAAAGAGCAAGTTTGATCACACGTGTACATTATTCGAATTAACAAAAAAAAAAAAGATCATGACTTTTCCTTCCAGTCCTCAGAAGACTTCATACACACAAACACACGCACACACACACACACACACACACACACACACACACACACACACACACACACACGCACACACACACGCACCCACAGACACACTAATATGCACAGAAAACAAGTTGCAATGAAACGAGCATCTATTCCTTCTCTTCCAGGTTCTTTCTTATTTTATTGCCTCCAGGAACATGGAAACAAATGATTGTATGAGCTTGGTTGTATGATATGGTCACAGGTCCTTTCAAGAAATCCAATTAATGAAGATTCATTATTAAGGTGTATTTTAAGTAGCCTTTTGAGTTTGTGTATATAAGCTGTATTAATTTCTTAAAAACTATGAAGAGTTTTAGGCTTCACATGATTTTTTTTTTGTTTGTTTTTTAAAAAATACCTTTTATGTGTTTCGTTCATCGGTTTGTGATTCAAGAAAAAAATATATACATTTTGAGCACATTTTACTGAAGGAAGTTCTTTCATGTTATGTGTCCTACTAAATACTGGACAGACCCTTAACGCCCTCCTCCCCACCCTCACTGGCTGTCCACAGTATGGTGTTCACAAACACCCCCCCCCCCCCCCCACTGTGTGTGTGTCCATAACATCAATGACTACAGTAGCACTCCAGCATTTTTGGGGCCATGTAGCAGAACCAAATGTGTTTGTTTTCTTTTGCTCTTGCATGGATGTCACTTGTAGCTTGCCAGGCTCAGGTTTGCAGCTTCAGAGACTTCAAATGTGAAGAATGGTGGACTTGTACACACTGTATTAAAAAAAAACCCAAGGGAGTCTCACTAATAGCTGATTGGGTCAGTAGTGCAGGGGTAGGGAACCTTTTAATGACGCAGTGGTACCTTGAAAAAAAACAAGTGACCCCACTTATGGGTTTTTCGAGATAGAAATCCGAGCACGATACGATTGCAGCAAACTCAACTCGCTCTTCCGGGAAGCAAAAATAGGCTTCAAGCTGGTTACTGTCCAACTAGGAAAATTACAAGTTTTGTGCTTCAAAGGATTAAACAACTTGACTGTAGAAATACCCTTGCTAGCTTGGTGCTAATACATCATTGAAAACGCCATACACATGTTTCAATCGATAGTCGCTGTGTTATAACCCTTTAGACAAGTGATATGTATCCACATACATCACACATATTCTTTGTCCTCGGTAATTTTGCAGCTTACTGAACTAACTCGGTGATGCTTCGTTTGTCTGTACTGTATAACTATTATACTGCCCCCTTGTGGCCAAGGCGGGCACACCCAAAAAAGCAGCACAAAAACAATTGACTAGAACCATGAAACCATGATGCAGAAACATTTTCTGAAAATGACGATTTTGTGATGTTTTTAAAAATCATACACATTTTTTCTTGCGTTTTTTGAGGCGGGACAGTCTGGAATAGAGTTCCATTCATTTCTAGAAAGATGAGTATATGAGGGTCATTATGGAAAGGATTACAGTAAAACATATCTCAAGGTGCCACTGCATTAATTCTTCTGAGAGCCATACTAAATTTCCCAAAAAGTAAACGGTGTATATACCGTATGTTTATGACAGTTCCCCTGAGAGTTTTTTTTTCTACGTTCCCACGGGCCATGGGTTCCTTACCCCTGCTGCAGTGGGTGGCAAAAGATTCCATTACAGTGGTGATTTGTACCCGTCTCAAGAATGACTTTTTCAAGCAACCCTGCACCCTGTGATCACTTTATGCCAAAACGCCTTCACTTCCATCATCAACAGACCATCTTTACTGTACACACACGCACGCCAACGTCTCAGGAAGGAATCATTTTGTATGCTTGGCCTGTCCTTCGTATATGTTCTGTACTGCACTCCCCTTCATCACACACACACACACACACACACACACACACACACACACACACACACACGCACACACTCTGCTACTGAGCCCTGATATTTTCCTTCAGTCACACACCCACACACAAGAAAAACTGAAAGAGACCCAGTGACATCAGTATGGTCCAAGCTGCTTCCCTCGCAATGCAAGACTGTCTGAAAGAGCGCACAAATTGACTCTCTTTCCACGGCTCATCTGGATTACTTACATTTGAGAAGTATGGAATATGTTGCATTTTTTTTTGTCAAGATTATCAAGCGACTTTGGGGAAAAAAAGAAGAAAGAAAACAAAAAAAAAATCCCAAAAAATAAATAAAAATAAAACCAACATTTAATAATAAACCAATGTGTCTGTGTGGTTAATGTGTTTAATCATTGAAAGTAAGGTCTTAATAGCACATTTTTGCCCTCAGCAGCTACTTGTACACAGTGATTCACAACCACTTGTGGTGCAGAAAATGACTTTTTTTTTTTTTGTAATTTGAATTTTTTTTTTAATTTACAAATAATGCATCTTTGTACAACTCTCTGCACCAGGAACAATGATGGTCATTAAATGCTCTTCCACTTGATGGCACTGGACATTTACACAAAATATTGACATAGATGGGCGGCTCGGTGGTGGACATCAAATAAAATTGTCCGAGTTCAACATAATGGTGACGTCAAAATATAAATTTTGTTTTTAAGATGCGTCACATCCTTTAAAAAAAACAGGAAAGTCAGACACGTCACACCGTAAGCAAGTGGGAGTCATTTGACGGGCCCCGCCTACCAGTTCGACCAATTAGAGTCCTTCGCGCGATATTTTAAACTTTTTTTCAAATTACTATCCGAGCAGAAGAGTTATCGCTCCGCGAAATCCATAAACAATATAGTTCCTTTAATCAAACAACGATACAATTTCAGTTACACTATCTATGAAGCTTTTAAAAGTTATTGTTAAAAACATTTTTTTCTACAAATCACTGTGAAACTAACGTTAACTTGTCATAGTTGTGTCAAGAGGATGTTTTGTCCGGACGGGCGGATGGATACAATAATCTGAAAAGAGGAACACCGGCCGCTGCTGTGAAGTAAAGTAGCTTTCGCGACGCATGGTCCCGCAGATTTGGTTTTACCGTAAATTTCAAATGATATTAACTTTTGAAGAAGCATTTATTCGAACTGCAGCCTCTTGTGTACGTGTATGGATTTTTTAAAGTTGACGTGTCATTGAAAGAATCCAGGTAAGGCTACGTTTAATTAAATGTACCGGTATAGACTTGAATGACGAGGTTGACGAATTTCGCTTTTTGTACTTTTTTTTTAACTATATTTTTTGTTTGTTAACGTTACCAAGACATTTTTTCGATATAAATTGACTTCAGAAGCTATCGCAGGTTATACTAGAGCGACATTTAAGGACTTTAAGTAAATAAACACAATGAATTTGCTTGCTAAATGTCCATTTGTTGTTGCCATTTAGCTCAGACTACGTGCAATGTTTACTAATTCCTTACTCTTGGTTAAATGTAACGTTGCCAGAATGCCACTACATGGAAAGATAGTCGTGGTTAAGCGGACCGGAGGAGATGGGACCGAATTTCCTCTGACTGCATCGTGCTTGTTTGGAAGGTAAACTCGAATGTACAAACTGTTCATGTTACTCTGCAGTACATACAGTATCATCCGGTCTCCTTTGCTGCAGGAAAAAAATGTCTCAACAATCTAAATTACATAATAACAATGTCGCAACTTAGAATTGGAACTGGGAGTCCCGGATTTACATGAGACAGGAGATGTGAGCGAATTTCTTTTTCGTCGGTGGACGCTACAGCTTCTTGTTGCTTTCAAACTTAGCTTGTAGCGGACGTGTGCACATTTTCAGCATGACGTCTTGAATCCACTGGTGAAAGGATTAAGCTTTCCCAAATATCAAAATAAGTGAAAATTATTTCTTCTATCGCTACCCAATCTTAATTGTCAAATCTTATCTATATTTGCAATGTCCTTGTGTAGTTTGAATTTTTTTTTCCCCCAATGTTCCCTTTGTTGCTACAGGAAGGCTGACTGTGACATTCGTATTCAGCTTCCCCAAGTCTCGAAGGAGCACTGCAGAATTGACTTGAATGAAAATAAAGAGGTAAAAGAAGTGACACCAAACATGCATACCATGTTTTTTGATGTTATTGTATCTCAGGTTATTCTCAATGCTGCTTATGTCAGTGTTGAAGTTGTATGTCAACCGTCTGTTTTTGAAGCACTTTCGTTTTTCTATTGTTTCTTGTAGGTAATTTTAACAAATTTGAGCTCGGTGAACCCGACCCTTATCAACGGAGAGCAGCTACAACAGTCTGAGCGTTTGAAGGATGGAGATGTCATAACCATTGTTGATCGTTCTTTCAGGTGTGATATGCAAAATGGTGAAATAGCTACTTTCCTAACAAATTGTTTTCAGTCATGTATTGCGAACACTTGACATTTTTTCCTATCACAAGGGCTTCTGCGGAAAACACGGTGCTGTTGTTTTGACAAAAGCACAGTCCAAATGAAAAATGGATGGTCTATACGTCATGCATTTTATGAATTTCAGGTTTCAGTCCCCTCCGCCACCCACGCCGAAGAAATTTGCCAAAGGAAGCAAAGCTGGAACCCCCAACCCTCATCTAAAAAATGGAACCAACCACAACATCCAGCGAGCACTGGAGCAGGCTAAAGAGGAAGACCCCAAGGTGGACGGTGATGTGCAACAAAGCAAGACGGTGTCTCCGTTTAGTGATCTCTATCAAATGATCAGAAAATCTCTGGATGTTAAAACCCCCCGTCAATCTTCTGGCACCTACATCCAGTCGCAGAGGAAAAGCAATGTTTCCACAAATCGAAACACATTGGAAGTGGCCGAGGCCAAAGTCTCTGATGGCGAAGCAGTAGCGAAGGCTAAAAATATAAGCATTGTTACCCCACTGTCTGAGAAGAAGCGTAAGAATTCCCCACAGGTTCTTTCTTCCGATGTGGTGACACCAGGTAAAGATGCACAAAATGTCAAATCTGAAGTGCGCTCGCCGCAGAAAAGGCAGCGTGTTACTCCTCAGAAGTCTGGTGCCGGAGATGCTGTTGAGAAAATGTGTACTCCAGCACCCAAGTCGCCATTGCGATGCAGGAGTCAGGAGGCCACACCAGCCAAGGAACACGTGAAAGAAATGCCTAGCCCACAAAATACAAACTCACCAAGAGCCACCGGGAAAGGTAAATGTTATGTTACAAAAAATGACTCCCCCCCCCCCCCCAATCAAACTGATGATTATTTTCATTCATTTTTATTCTATTATGACTTAATAGGGGTGCCAAGAAAACGCCAAAGCGCAGAGCTTGTGCTTAATTCACCGGCCCCACAGATGAAGAAAAGACACGTTTCCTTTGGAGGCTACCTGGTTCCTGAGTTGTTTGACAAAAAAATGCCGCCTGATTCGCCACTACGAAAAGGCGAGAATCCAAGGAGAAGTCTCTGTCTCGCGAAACCCAAACAGTCAGTGCTGAGGCGAGCATCGGTCATTGGCCTACCAAAGGTAAGATTCTTGTTGTTCAACCTTAATGTTTAAGATGCGCATTTGCTGTTCTTTGACAGACCAATGTATTTTTGTGTAGAAGGCTCAAAGTCCTGCAAAGAAGAGCCCTGAATCTCCCAAAACCTCTGTCAAGAAATCTCCAAAGCAAAGGTCCCCATCCCCCAAAGATTCTTCTCCGCAAAAGAAGACTCCAAAACCCAGGACACCCTCTCCCCAGAGGAAGTTGCCAAAATCGACACCGGCCTCCCCGAGAGAGAAATCTCCTGGGAAGAAGTCACCAAAACCCAACACACCGTCCGCCAAGGCCTCGTTTTCAGGAGAGAAATCGGCCAAGTCAAAGTCTTTTTCCTTTGCGGCTTCGGAAAAGACACCAAGAACACCTTCACTCAAGTCACCAAAATCTACACCGGCCTCACCCAAATGGGCGTCTCCTGCTCTTAAGTCAGCAAAACCCAACACACCGTCGGCCAAGGCATCGCTGTCAGGAGAGAAATCAACAAAATCAAGGTCTTCTTCCCCTTCATCTTCCGAGAAGACTTCAAAATTCAGCACACCGAGGAGAGCATCTTCCTCCGGTAACAAATTGGAAACTCCTTTGACCAAAGGCCCGACTTCCAATGAAATGCCCGAACGTGTAAAGAGGGCAAGCCCCAGGCTTACCCCCCCAAAAACGGTCAACCAACTGCCAGTGAAAACACCCCAGGGCCCCCAAATGAAGATTGCGTCGGCCCAGGGACGTTTTTCTGTGTCTCGCGTCGAAACCCCATCACCGATTGCAGACGATGCTGTCATCGAGCCGGTGCGGTCAGTCACGGTGACACCCAAAATCCCTCTGAGGAGGAAGAGCATGAAGAACACTTCGCGCAAGACTCCCTTGACCAAGAGTGCCATCAAAATGCTCCGAAGAAGCGGCATTTCACGAGCCTCCCTGAAAGGTATCTTTCAACCTATTTAGCATACAGTAAGAGCAGAATGTAAACGGTGACAGATATGACAATGCATTTCGCCAACTCTTGGTTAGCATCATTCCATTTGCTGGAATGATGCTAACCAAATTACTGCCAGTTGCATCGTAAAATTTTTCTCCCTCATGAAAACTTTTTCTTTTGCCTTCATTGCCCAGGTTTCGCCATTCCAGCCACGTGCTCTTGGGCCGACACCGTCAGGTTTGGGCAGGCTAAAGTCCGCGCGGCTCTCCCCCTTCTGAGAACAGTCAAACATACTGTCCCCATCGCAAAGGTATCGAAGAAGCTGGCGTCCAGAGCACAGGTAAATGTTACAGTCAAAAAACCAAAGAACGCCTTGTGCTTGGTGGTTTGATTTCACGCGATGATCTGCGCCTGCTACGTTCTCAATTTTTTCAGACGCCTGTAAGAAAGCAGCTGGGCCACGCAAGCACCGGGCATGCGGCGTCACCCGTTACCATTGTTGTGGGCCGAGCTTCCAAGCGCCAAGTTACGCACCCGGTTGGCGCTCCGCCAAAAGTCATCTTCAATACAGCAATCTCAAAGAAGAACATGAACATGGATGAGGATTTGTCTGGTAATTACATTCCTGAAATCCTCACAGCTGGTCTTGTTTTTTGGGGATCTTATACTGTATGTTATATTTTGTTGTTTTAGGAATCTCTGAAATGTTTAAAACGCCTTCGAAAGAGGGGAGGAGGAGATCGGAACACCGCCGCGGCAGCTCCGCCAAGACTCCATTGGTAGTGAATGAACCATCTGTCGTTGATCCTTCTGTGTTGAACACTCCCGAGGAGCCAGGTAAAGCGTCCCATTTGAATGAAGGTGTATTCCGCGCAAAATGCGGGCGGAAAAATAATGAATTGACCCATCTCCAGGTGAAATGGCCGTGTCTCCGCTCTCTCTCGCATCCACGGTGAAAGCGGGCCGGTATAACAAAGAGGCAGTGAAACGCCTTCTCAGCGGCAGTCGGGAATCCAGCTTCGTCGCCGACGCCTCTGCTCTGGAGAAGACGAGCGAATCTGTTGAACAGCAATGCGCAGAAATGATGGCGAGTGCTGCAACAACTCCTGAGCAGAAGCCGCCGCTACAGGAGTCTCTCACCGGTGTGAAGAGACTCCTAAAGACCCCAAAACAGAAGACGGAACCTTTGGAGAATCTGAGAGGAAGACTCCTGAAAACACCCAAACAGAAGCTCGAGCCACAGGAATGTCTCACTGGAGTGGAGAGGATTCTGAAGACTCCCAGACAGAAGCCTGAACCGGTTGAGGATCTGAGAGGGAAACTCCTGAAAACTCCCAATCAGAAGTCTGAGCAAACGGAATGCCTCACTGGAGTCAAAAGAATTTTTACCACTCCAGAACAGAGTGAACCCATCGACGTAGCAGAGAAACTCTTCCAAACTCCCACGGATGCAGAAGTTGCTGATGTTTCTTTCAATAGTGTTGGAGACCATCTGGAGACCCGAGACCGACCACCACTGGCTCAAGAAACCCGAGACCTACCGGAACCGACAAATTCATCGACTCTGAAAGTGGCCAGCTCCCCGACGGACGGCCTCTCGGCTATCAAGAGAGTCATGAAAACACCTCGGCAAAGACACGCTCCCGTTGAGGACTTCCTCGGAATTGAGAGGCTCATGAGGACTCCCAAAGAGCGAAGTGAACCGGTGGAGGACAACTTCGGCATCAAGCAGCTCATGAGGTCACCCAGATTGAGGGGTATAGCTCCCGTCGAGGACTTTGAGGGGCTTCAGGAGCTCATGGAGGAACCATCTGAGGTAAAGATTACGTAAGAAGTAACAAGCGCAGCTTGCCGTTTAGGTTTATTTATGTGGCATTGCTTCTAATTCTGCCATCTGCTTGCTGTAGTTTGAGATCTCGCTGCATGCTAATTGATTTTTTTCTCTCTCTCTCTCTCTCTCTCTCTCTCTCTCTCTCTCTCTCTCTCTCTCTCTCTCTCTCAGTTTAAAGATCAACCTGCCAGTACTGACTTGGATGTCGCAAAAGGTACGTTATATTTGTTTTGCTTTGAATACTACTTTGGGCTGTATTACCTTGCTAACACCCCCCACACCTTACCTGGCACATATTACCGGCATACTAATGGAAACATGTTTTACTTTTAACAGGGGCAACCGAGGTTTTCGTAGATGTTCCAAGTGTTGCTTGTGAATCGTCAGGAGCTACACAAGCGGTTTCTCAGGCTGCGATAGAAGATATACCGGGAGTGACGGAAATGGACACGGCCGATTCCAAGAAATCAGTCCGAGGCCGAAGGGTCAAAGCAGCCGATCTGGTGACAGAGGAATCATCTCAATATCCTGTGTTCTCTGCCCCTGTCAGAGGAAGACGGGGGAAGAAAGTAGAGCCTGCAGAAGAAGCTAAAGCTGCCCCGAAGCCTAAAAGAGGAAGATACGCGAAAAAGGTTGAGACAGTCAGAGAGCCTCCCGCTGAAACTTTACCTGAGAGTGAGCCTGCAGTGACTGACAGTGTTGCGTCTTTGGAAGAAGAGGCTGTGAAGCCAAGAAGAGGAAGATATGCCAAAAAGGCTCTGAAACAAACCGAAACGGTTCCACAACCTGCCGCTGCAACTTTGCCGGAGCCCGAGACTGAGCCTGCAGTGACTGACAGTGTTGAATCTTTGGAGGAAGAAGCTGTGAAGGAAAGAAGAGGAGGAAGATTTGCCAAAAAGGCCTTGGAACAAACCCCACCAGTCCCACCACCTGCAATGGAAACTTTGCCGCAGCCTGAGAGTGAGCCTGCAGTGACTGACAGTGTTGCATCTTTCGAAGAAGAGGCTGTGAAGCCAAGAAGAGGAAGATATGCCAAAAAGGCTCTGAAACAAACCGAAACGGTTCCACAACTTGCCGCTGCAACTTTGCCGGAGCCCGAGAGTGAGCCTGTCGTGGCCGACAGTGTTGCATCTTTGGAAGAAGAGGCTGTGAAACCAAGAAGAGGAAGATATGCCAAAAAGGCCTTGGAACAAACCCCACCAGTCCCACCGCCCACAATGGAAACTTTGCCGGAGCCTGAGAGTGAGCCTGCAGTGACTGACAGTGTTGCACCTTTGGAAGAAAAGGCTGTGAGGCCAAGAGGAGGAAGATATGCCAAAAGGGCTCTGAAACAAACCGAAACGGTTCCACAACTTGCCGCTGCAACTTTGCCGGAGCCCGAGAGTGAGCCTGTCGTGGTGGACAGTGTTGCATCTTTGAAAGAAGAGGTTGTAAAGCCCCAAAAAGGAAGAAACCCCAAACAACCATCTTCTCGGTCCAAAAAAGCACAACATTCTTCCCGCAGCGATGACGTTTGCCAACACGACATCGCACAAGGTACGGAATGTCCTTCACATTTGCTGGATTCAAAATGTTTCTTTTTTTCTGAGTGTGAAGTTACGTCTCGCAAAAGGCTGAAGTTCCTCATTTGCATTCTCCACTTTCAGATATCGAGGAAGTTCGTGATGACCACCAAGAGCAGATACCGACTGAAGACCGTGAAAAGAAATCCACGGAATCAACAGAGAGTTTACAGGAAGTGGAGATCACAGAGCACGTCCCTGTCATTCAAAAGAAGCCTCTTCGAGGGAGAAGAGGCAACCCGGTGGAAGATGAGCAGGGTGCCGCTTTAGAGGAAGCTCTTGTCTCTGCTCCAGTCAGGGCCGTAAGAAGGAAGAGAACTGAAGCAACTGCGCCACCCGCAGGCAGACTAACTACCAGAAGTCGGAACACAAAGACAAAGGTACAATCTTCTGATGCTCTCACTGAAATGGTGCCGGAGAAAGATGCGCACGTGAATGCGTTGACTGAAACTTCAGAAACTAACACCAGCCAAGAAGATTTCCAGACTCCTGCAGCGGACTCGGTCGTGAAGCCTAGTAAGGGCAGGAAAACCAAACGCGCACCTGAGCCAGAAAAGTCACTTGCCGTGGAACAAGTCCAGCCACTGGCACCCACCGATAAAAGGGGAAGTCGCAGAAAAGTCATCTCTGAGACAGCTGAGTCGCAGGAACTTGAAAAAGTCACCTCTGAAGAAACGAATTATCAGTCCAAGCCTCTCGCCAGAGGAACGAGAGGCCAGAATGCCAAACGCAAAAAAGAGCAAGAGAATAGTGACAAACCTTCCACAACGGCACAGTCGGAGTTTGCACTCCAGCAGCCGACAAAAACATCCAGTAACAAAAAGGGTGACGTCGAAAATCTTGTCCCAGTTGAAGCAGAAGGACCACCGGTCTCTGAACCAGAGCAGATAAGTGAACCCACTTCTGGCCTTGCAAAAACAAGACGAGGAGTGGTACGAAAACAAAAGCAAGCAGCAGTTACGCCTGATTCCACAGAGACCCGCGATGGTGCAATTGAGACGGCAACGGTAAAACCCCAACGAAGAGGAAGAACAAAACAAATTGAAGATGTTCCCACCGCACAGGTACCAGAGGAAAAATCGGAACTAAAACCGAAGCAGCAGAGGGGAAGAGGTTTGAAAGATGACATGAAACAAGTCGATGCAGCCAAGAGAGCGCGACGAGAGCCAACCTCCTCCCATGAGGAGGCCCAAAAAGGTTCAGTGGCAGTTCCGGAGTCAGCTCCAACTTCAGCAGAACCAGTCAAAAGGGGAAAACGGCCACTCGCCAAATCGGATCTGTCTGACGTGAACGAAAAACAGTCAAATGCCAGCAGCCATTCAAACGCCACAAGTCAAGAACCACAAAACCGCTCCAGAGCAGTGAAGTGGAGCCTTCATGTCGAAGTCCGCGAAATCCCCAAAAGAACCCTGAGAGCGGTTCGAGGCAAGCGGTCAAATATTGGTGATCAAATGGAGACTCAAAGCCAGAGTGAGTCAGAGAATGTGGAGGAGGACCTTTCAGAAAAGGCAGCGGAGCCTCAGCCCGCCAAGAGAGCCCGGCGAGGGGCAAAGGTTGCAAAGGAAGCAGAGTCCACCACAAAAGTCGACACCAGCAAAGCTGAAGATGCGGAGACTCAGCCCAAAAACAGAAGAGGGCGATCAGCTAAGAAATGTTAACACCTCTGCATATATCCATTGATCAGAACATGTTTTTATTTTCGTTTTTTCTACAAGTTGTTTAATTGGCGTTCTTAAATGTATTTTCGCCTCTATGCAGATGAAAAATTAAGCACTGTGTGTTCTGCCTTTTTGTATTTTATTTTTGACAGCAGGGAATTTTATAAACTTACGTTTTCAATGATTTTCATTCATTACGTCTTGCAGCTGGGTTATTGTTAGGTTAAAAAAAAATTATCAATGGCAGCATTTCTGTGTTTTTTCTTTTTCTGCACAGTATGTGGGTGCGCTTGTGTCAACAGGTTACCGTCAATAAATGGATTAGTGTTCTGAGATTACTTCTTGTTCTTATTGACATGATAAAATGGGAAGGGCAATTGGAATAATATTCCTCAATCATTTGTGAAAATGTCAAGTTTCCCCAGAGCTAGGATCAAAAAAAGGTGAAATGAAGATTGAGATTTTTATTCAGCATAAGTCACACCTTCAATACAAATCTATAAAAGATTGAGATTTTTATTCAGCATAAGCCACACCTTTAATACAAATGTATTTCTGCTTAGAAACTTAATTTTTTTTATTGTAATATCTTAATAACTTTATTAATTATATCCACGGAACCTTTTGAAGTATATGTTTGAACAACCCGGAAGCTTTTTCGAGCCAGACCCGGAACAAACGTTTGGTTCACGTTGGAGGGAGATTTGAGAAACGCATGGAGGACGGTGTTTTTCTTTCGACGGTTTTTCGTTATTATTAAACTTTTCCGAGTTCAATCTTTCTTTTTTTTATTGTCATGGAGTCCGAAAGTGACATAAAAACGACGCCGAGAGGTTTTCACTGTGTCTTGTGCAAGGTCAATTTACCAAACCGTAAGTAACGCCGCTGAGCTTGATGTTTTCTCACTTCACTTTTTCACAGTCTGAACTATATTAATATGAAAGAATCCCATAAAGGCCAGGTTGTATACATGTACACGGTTAGCAATGTGATTCAAGAACTCCAATGAACTCCGCTTCTCGTTTAGTTAAATGAAGCAACAACAACAAAAAATGGTTCTAAATTATGTAATATAACCACAATCATAAACATATCCATATTGAATTCATAACTACATTACAGTATTTTTATAGGTGTAAGCCCCGTTGCCACGTACTCTTACCATTGTTTTTTTTTTTTTTTTTTTTTTTGGATTTCTCGTGATGGCTTTAGAGTCGAGCGTGGATCAGCATGTCAAAGGGCGAAAGCACCAAACGTTAAGCAACGTGCGAAGCACCAGGAAGACCCAGGAGCAGCACAGCGTGTTTGTCAGCGGCATCAACTCGGACACTTCACAGGCTGACCTGGCTGACTACTTCCAGCAATTTGGGAACGTTTCCGACGTGATCATGGACAAAGACAAGGTCAGGCGACCGTCTTTAATATACTGTGAGTTCAATACTTTTTTAAGTTTTTGTTCGACATCCTAAAATCCAGCGTTGTTGTTGTGACCCTCTGCATCTCCAGGGCGTGTTTGCCATTGTGCAGTTCAGCCAAACGGAGAGCATTGAGGCCGCCTTGTCCTGTGTCAAGCACAAAATGAAAGGACTCAATCTGCGTGTCAAACCCCGGGAGAAGAAGGAATTCAAGTACATCCCGAAACAGAAGTGTGACTTGCAGAACCTGCAGCAAGTTCTGGACCACCTAAAACCACAACTCTGTCAGCTGCCTTGTGTAAGTAATATTACGATGCAGCTGCCCAATACAAAGCACAAGGGTTGGGTTTTGACATTGATTGACGGCCTTTATTGATTTAATAAGGTCACAAACACATCAAGGTTACGGTCTGAGTGTGTAAGATGTCATGTGTGTTGTTTTCCTGTAATGTCCTTCAGGTTAATGCTCAGATTCAGTACATTGAGAAGCGGTTCCAGCTTGGAGATAATGAGAAGAAGGCTCGAAACTTGCTGGTGGAACTCTTGCAGGAGGTCTTTGTGGAGTTTTTTCCAGGTATGCACAAGCCATCCATTTGTCATTCTTTCCATTTTCCATTGGCAATTGTGAAAATTTGAAAACAACATGAAAAAGTGAATGTTTTATTTGATTGGGGGAGCCCCCCCCCCAAAAAGACACATTAAAGGTTACGCTCAGCTATACGCTCAGCTAATTAACATGAAATTGAAAAACAGTCAAATGTATTTTCCGCAACTTTATTTAAGCTTACTGTTAATAGCCAACTTCCACATCCACTTGTGTGCATCTCACAGATAGTCAAATTCTGCCGTTTGGGTCCTCCGTCAACACCTTTGGTATTCATTCCTGTGACTTGGACTTGGTTCTGGATTTGGAGAACACCAAAGTCTTTCAGGCTCATACCAGGACTACATCAGAGGTTTGACGTTTATCAAAAATTGTTGGGTAGTGAAATACTGTCGGTGTGCATTGTCCACGTAGGAATAATTGATCTCGCTCTAGCCTCAGGCAGCCGAGTGCATGTCAGACGACGGCCGCTCGGAGGACTCCATTCTGTCCGACATCGACCTGTCCACAGCCTCTCCGGCCGAGATTCTGGACCTGGTGGCGGCCATCCTGAGGCGCTGCGTCCCCAGCGTGCACAAAGTCCACGTGGTCAGCAGTGCCCGCCTCCCGGTGGTGAAATTTCATCATCGTGAGCTCAATTTACAGGGTGACATCACGGTCAACAACAGGTTCATTTGTATGATTTCGTTATATATGTTTTTTTCGTTTCATACTTTGATTTTAAAACTGATTTTGCCTCCTCAGACTGGCCGTGAGGAACACCCGCTTCCTTCAGCTGTGTTCAGGGGTGGAAGAGAGATTGAGGCCTTTGGTGTACACGATACGCTGCTGGGCCAAACAGAACCAACTGGCAGGTAAAATTTGCAATCGGTGAGAACGTACATCCACGCGTTGATTTTATTCGAAATTCAAATGAGGGTTCGTTTGCATTTTTTTTTTTCATATTTTGGTCAGCAGATGTCGGTAGAACCTCACTTCTGGATACCTGTCGGGGTAAATAATATAGAGAGGTAATAAATACAATTAAAAATTTAGCATTCATTTTTATTCCACTTTTTTCCATTATAAAAAATGAAATGGAAATAAATTCATTTATTGAATCACAGTTTAACATTTTACCTCATGACAACTGCCATGTCTCATCTGCCCGTTTTATAAAAGCAATCACAAAAGTGTGCCCAGCGCTCATTTATAGCATTAATAAAAATGACAATATTCTCCCTTTGGCAGTTAAAAGCAGAGACTCCATCTACATTACAAGTCCAAATGAGGAGGAACTGTTCTAAACTGAAGAACCTTATTATTGTTCTCTTTGACATAAAGTAAACCGGTACCAACTAGTACATCTCCAACTTGGATTGGCCCTGTATTAATTCTGTGCTCAACCTGTCAAATACTGTGCTCAGTGATCTGTTATTTGTAACACCAAGGTAACCCCAGCGGTGCCGGCCCCCTGCTCAACAACTACGCTCTGACGCTGCTCGTCATCTTCTTCTTGCAAAATTGTGAGCCTCCCGTTCTCCCCACCGTGGACCGCCTCAAAGACATGTCGTGTAAGTGTCGACTCTCTCTCTGCCAAATAGTGAGCTGATCATGGTCATGCTACAAACCCAAGCGCGGGATAGTTGTCACAATGATGAGAGAACTTGTATATTTCTGTGTTTCGGTATGTAAACAGATTACAAACGCAACCTGCTCAACAAATTCGTCCTGTAAATGTTTCTGAAGAGGAAAATTGAAATGCATTTGCGAGTTTGGCTGCCGTGTACAAGCTCCAATGTGTGAAAGTGTTTGTTGACCTTGTAGGTGAGGAGGAGGAGTGTGTGATTGAGGGATGGAACTGCACCTTCCCCAGTCAGCCCATCGCCGTGCCCCCCAGTGGAAACACCCAAGATCTGTGTAAGTCTGTCCATCTATGATTTTAGTATGCCATTGTGCCTTGAGATAAGAGTGACCAGAGTTGCTCATTTTTTTCGATATACAAACCATTTGTACGATTTTATTTTATTTTTTTGCTTGGAAGCAAACATTTGTGACATGAAAGCTGTATGGTGTCAGTGAACTCAGCTCACTCCACAAGAAGCAAGAGTTTGGAAGATAGTGAACAATTCTTCTAAAAAAAGAGGCGTCAAGATATTTAGTCATTATTGTTTATCAAATTTGAGTTCCTATGTGGTGCTATGTCAATCTCATCTACCCAGGGCCCTCCACATCAGTCGCGCTGGTTGATGTACGCTAAACGTTTAGGTTCATTTGGGGAAAAAAAAGTCTCATATTAAATTGCAATCTCGATATTGAGTTGGAACTAAATTGCAGTGAGGTGATTTTTCAAATTCGTTCGCCCCTAAAATGAAATCTGTTTCCACCAGGCACCCTTTTGGCTGGTTTCTTCTCCTTCTATGCCAAGTTTGATTTTGCAAGTAGTGTCATATCTCTGAGGGAGGGGCGTGCAATCCCAATCACGGACTTTCTTTGTCGCAAAGACAATAAGGAGGAAAACCCCACCAGGCCCTATCAGAGTGGACCTAGACTGGGCCCCCTCAATGTTTTGGACCCCTTCGAGCTATCCCACAACGTTGCAGGAAATTTGAATGAGCGCTCCCAAAAATGCTTCCAGAAAGCGTGTCAGGATGCCGAGAAGTACTGCCGCAGCCTCCAGTACCTGCGCAAGTCCACCAAGGGGAAGTCCTGGGGGCTCGTGCGTTTGTTCACCCCCAGCGGCGGAGTCTCACAAACCAAAGAGGACGAGCTGAACATCAGCATTCCTTTCAAACCATCCGCGCTCCCCGAAGCCCTCCGCGGTCAGCTGCAGACGGCAGGAGAAGAGTTTCGATCGGTGTGGTTTGAGAAGGTGTGCGGTTCCGTGGAGCGAGTCTTCCAAAGCGTTCTCAGATGTGACCTCGTGTTCTCCTCGGGTTTTGCCTTTCCGGAGAATTCGGCCGCCGAAGTGTCTGCCGAAATGGAGACCAGCCCGGGCCCCCTCAACACATCGGCAAACGACGGCATGGATTCGCCCACCAGCAGCGCCGCGGCGGGCGCCAAGCGGCGACTCTCCGATGACAGCGACATGTCCATTTCCCCTCAAGGAAAAAAGCCGAGGATGTCCAAAAGGGGCAAGCGGGAGCCCCCCTACTGGCTGTGGGTGCAGAAACACCCAGTGTGGGCCGGCAGACGGAAAGTGAGGCGGGAGCTCATCAAAGACGCCGACCTACGGCCCGAGGGCAGCTGCTTGGAAATCGAGGCCCAAGTCACAGATGGCATCATCGAGAAAGAAGAGGAGCTCAAGGAGCCGCTGGATTTCAAGGTTCAGGCCCACGTGGTGGGCGAGACGGAGAGCACAAAGGTCGAGTTGAAGTTGGAGCCGTGCAGCGACCAGGCCGGAGTTTTTCAGGACTTTGTTCATTTCCTGGAACCTTTCCTACCCAAGATGGTGGAGTCGTTGCTGGCGAAAGCAGCAGGTGGCGCAGAAAATGGGCCGTCGCGTTAAAGTTTTTGTTTTGAGTCACAATAGTTTTGACTGTAGAACGAACATTCGGGAGAGCATTGTGTGTATTGACCAGTCATCTCTCCCGCCTATTGTAGACTGTTTCCTCGAAAATATACTGACTCTCTGACTCACCGTTTTTCATGTACACTTCTCACAAAAAGTTAGGGAAATTGGGCTTTGGTGGGAAATTTTATGACCAACCTAAAATGCGCTGCAGTTAAATCCCCAAACCAACGATCGTAGGTTCTAGGTTTGCGGTCCTTTTTTTTGGATTGGGAGTTGTATCGATAGATCAGTGGCACTACTACGCTAATGCAACACAGATAAATGAGAGGAATTACTTACTCATGCAGACGTTTTTATTGCTGCAGGTGAAGGATTGCGACCGTGCTGATTAATGTCATTCATCTCGCTGTTGGGCAAGTGCAGACATGCGGCGGCGTAGCCGAGCTCCTTACGTGGCATTCGGGGAAACCGATGTTTTTATTTACATTTGGGAATCTAAATTGCGGTTGCTATGTGAATTAAGTCTAAAATTACAAGGAAGCATCTTGAAATTCTATTATTCTGTTGATTTTCTCTCTCAGGTTAGCGTCACCTCAACTGTCCGCTTTCGCTCTCCGATGCTCCCGGCTACTCTGTTATTACCTTTCTTTGGGTTTCTTTTAAAGCCACGATTGATATATGACCAGTCTTGCACACTCGCAGCTCGAAGCCAGATTCAAAGTGATTGATGCCAAACTCTCAGTGTTTGCTACAGGTGACCCAAAACAAGGAAGTGGATTTTAACCGCCATTGTTGATCCACACAAAAGTCCTTGAGTTTCGACCACAATGACAGATGCTTCTGACAGGTAACACCAAGCTTTTTCTCCACTTGAACATGTCGTACTTCTTTCAAAATCCGCGCACCCTCTCTGAGTTGAGATGTGTTGATTCTGTCCCATCTAGATTTATTGTGTGGTTGTCGGTCCATCGCAGCCTTTTTGTCAGTCACAAATGGTTTGTTTTTGTTTCAAACAGTACTTTGGCTCTCAATTTGGGCCAAAAATGCTTTGTATCTTCCGCTGACAACCTAATTTACCTTTGTCATCAATTACGTTTTTTCCCCCATTAGCCATAACTTTGGCGCCATCTTGTGGCATCTTACAAAGCATGCAAAAAAATGCATTTAGGTGAATTTGTGACAAGCGAACCGCAATTAAGTAGGTTGTCGGGGAGTCCAAAAATAGTGATAACAGGATGATCGAAAGTCGATGCCAATTTCTTCCTTCCAATCCGCTCAGAATCATAAATACTGTCCTGACTTTCCCCCAAATTGAGAGCCACCCTCCCAATCGAATCAACCTCGTATTGGCCGGACACCCGCGTCATCTATCAGAGTTACCTGAAGCTGCCGGCCAGCTCATAAAAGCATCAGTACGTCGGGCCCGCCGCTGTAATTGGCCCGCTCTGCTTTCCAGCAAAGACAAATCGTTCTTGGCGAAAAAAGCAGGCTTGAGTAGCCGCGCTCCTCTTGGGACACGAGAATCGCACGAGACGCTGCGATTTGAGAAAACAACTGACGTCTACAGTCACTGTGTTTATGCCAGTAAATAGCCCGTGTCCATAATATACCAGCCCAGGGAAATATGACGAGCTTTTCCCCGCGGTCACTCCACACTGATGCTTGGATGATCCATTTAAACCGCATCTACGGTTATGAATGATCATCAGTTCCCCAGTTTGTCTTGCAATGACCCCGGCAAACAGACGGGGCTCTACGGAGCAACGAAATGGAGAGGATATATATATTTTTTTAAGTTGTGGCCACTAAAAAAAAAAAAAATAAGTGGGTCCCTTTCATATGGTTACCCATCCTCCCTGTTGCTCAGGTATTGCTCAGGTAATGCTTGGTGCTAAGCTAAATTTGCTAATGCGAGTTACAGCTTGGGAGCTGAGTCATTCCTCCTCACGTCCCTGAGTGCAAATAAGCGACATTTCTGACAACTGTCACCACTCAAGGAAACCATCCGAGACGAGGTGAAAATGGAGAAAAGACCACACGCTAACTGCAAAACTAATATTAAACGTTGCGTAGCCAACCGCCGGAATAAGTGCTTCGCCCCTTCGTCGATTTAAATCTGCAAATGAACATTGTGTGAGCAGTATCATCTCTGGGGGTTCCATATAGCAGGCTGCAAAGCACTCTGTTCATATTAGCGGCTCACTGACAGAGATAAGACTGAATAAAAAAACACATCATTTCCCCTTTTGCGAGCCTTTGGCAGGAAGGAGTCGGATTTTCTCCCAGGAGATTGCGCTTGCGCCCTGCCTGCGTGTGTAAACTGCGCGAGGAGTGCAAATAGAAGAAGTTTTATCTGCACTGGGACTTTTGACGGCAAAGTAAAGGGTCACGTTTCGGACAAAGCGTTGCAAAAGTTGGTCAAGCTGTTTGTGATCAAGTAAAGTTTGCCTCCTATTAGCACTTCTCCACAGGAGGGTTTTTAACTAAGCGCTAGCGGCCTGTGAAAAACCTAGCCGTAGCCCTTTATCCTCTTATCTGGGCTGTTCACACGCAAACACTGTGGACAGCTAATGAGTTTGTCCTGTGCACATCGTTGTTTCTTCCCATTGACTTTTATGGCACCGGAGAGTCAACGCTGAGATGTTGATTACTGGGGTAGAATTAAAATGTTCCGGAAAAGCCACTGTTAGGGCTTGGAAATGGATGGTGACAAGAGAACGAGCTCATCCCTTTGCTTCAAGGACTTCATAAATTTTTTTTTGAATCCATTTTCACTTCAATCTGGCATCGTGTGTGTGTGTTTGAATGATGGTGCAATAATTGCTGAGAGATGGTCCGAGCAATCAATGTGTAATCTTCGAATCCACTTACAGCCTTTTACGGCCCGGTCGTGTACACTCTTAACAGCTTGTTTATTGGCAGCAGGAGGTCCACAGAGGCCACCAGTTGGGATTTATGCCCAAATCAAGTTGTTTTTGACAAGGGCCTGGGGACAGAAAAAAAAAAAGCTTTCCCCCCCTCACTATTCTATAAACAGCTCGTGACTGTAGAACTGTCACCACGTCTCAGGGGAGCCCCCCAGGACATGTACCAGGCAAGAGTCTGACTCAACACAACCAAACAATCTAATTTTGCATGCTATTTAAAAAAAAAAAAAGCTTTATTTTTGACATGCGTGAATCATTGTGCATGTTGCTTTAAAAATAGCTTTTTTGTTTTTTTGGGAAAGAAAGTTCTATTTCAATGTGTCACTGACATTATGCTCTGGAATATAGACCAGGGCGATCTTAAAGGGTCTTGTGACACTTAATTCTTGTCACATTATGACTATTAATGACCATTAATTGTATTTTAATTATCTTAAATAGAATGTCCACAATATATTTTTGTAAATACTTAACTGTTATGCGGTCAGATTTGGTTGCTATTTAGCTACTATTTAACGACACTGGTTAACTAAATAAACAAATTCCACGTTTTTCGCCCCCTCATACTATCTGTATTAAAAATTATGTCGAAAATTCTGTTTTGTAGCAAAATGAGAGCAACTCCTCAATTGTCGATGCATGATTTGATCCTTCTTCCTTGCCCTACTTCTCATGTCTCACCACAATAATAAACCCGTTGTTATTGTAATACGTCTCCAGCGTCAATCAACAGCGAGCGTTAATCGCGTTCTAACGGCTGAATTTTTACGGCAACTCATGTGTTGGAGTTGCAAGAGTTGTGCCGCGGGAAAGGATCCAATTTCACTTAATTGGTTCTGAAAGTCGTTATTCTTTTTGTTATGATATGCTAACATAAATGTAGTTTGAAATGATACACATCATGTGTATCATTGTTCATCTGTCTATGCCGGTGATTTATCGTGGCATGCACTTTGTCCCACGTCTGATTTCACATGAGCCCCTACTTTAGGATCTAAACTTTTTTTTTTTGCTCCCGCTTCCAAAGCACCGTCTTAACAAATAACCGCAATGACCGCGTCCCCAACACGGCAAGCAAACAAACCCTGCAAAAATGTCGCCAAGCAATCGAGCAATAAAAAAAAAAAAAAGCAGATAAAAAATAGGTGCACAATTGCGCATCGCTATCGCTGCCGTGAAGGCAAACAGACAAACACCCGCATAACGTTTTAAGTACGGCTTCGCTTGTCAGGCGTCGTGAGCTGGACAGCGGACTGTGAAGATGCGAGATAAACCGGAGCTCCTGCAAAGGTCATTAAAAAAAAAAAAGTATTCGACTAGTCTGACCCCTGGAGAGATGTTTTTCGTGTCAGTGTGTACTGGTTGAAACCATGGGTACTCACCGGGCCTTTTGAGAGTTTGAAAAGGCAGCAATTGCAAGTGTCAGTGGAGATATTTGATCTTTCGGTTCACTGTCACCTGGAGAAATAATGCGCGAAAAAGGGCACGTTGTTGCTTAAATTTGATCTGTGCAGCAATATGTAAGGTTGTACCACCGCCGCAATAATACTCTACACTTGTGATGACTGGGTAGACAAATTAGGTCGTTATGCCACTTACAATGCCTTTCAATAATGAAGGCCTGGCAGAGTGAAGCTCCTCCTCCACTTCAACATAGTTCCAAAGCATTATCTTTATACTCATAATCGTGTTGACCTTTAAAAAAATAAATAAAATCTGTGAATAGCAGAGGATGTATGACATCGGAAGATTTTTCTCATGTAGAAAGTGGTTCGAGCTACTGCGCCTCATACTGAAATGTGTTTCAAATCTGTTGAGATTCTCGGTAGCTGAGTAAGGTTACCAAAATATATCAAAATACTTTTTTTTAAAAAAATGATGACGTTCAACCCACAACCACAATCCCGTAATGAATGGATGCTTCCAAGCTGCCCAATCCACCGATGCGTGACTTTCTTCCCGGATGCCGGAGTAGCGGGAAAGTGAGAGGTGTGGTTTGGTGTTAGTCAGCAGCACGCATCAGGTATGCGCGCCTCACTATAAAAGGCGGCAAACGGAGGAGAGGAGCAAGTCAGGGCACCACCACCACCAGCAGCAGCAGCAGCAGCATCATCAACCATCACCACCAGTGCGCTCCAGAAGACTTATCCCCCAACCAGAAAAAAAAGTAAGTTTTCATTTTGTCTTTTGTTTTACTGTCATGATGAATTATCTGTCGCTGTATGTGTCATTTAACTGAATCGTGTCACTCCCAAAGAAAAATGTGCCTCAATGCCATGTTGTTTCCCCTTCAAGGGTCCGTCCAGCATGCTGAAACCGTGCATGATGTTCGCCGCGCTCCTCTTGTGCTTGCTGGTGTTCTGGGGCAGCCTCGCCGACGCGTACCCTCCCAAACCCGAGAGCCCGGGCAGCAACGCCTCCCCGGAGGACTGGGCCAAGTACCAGGCCGCCGTCAGGCATTATGTCAACCTCATCACCAGACAGAGGTGAGCGCAGTCGGCACGGTGTGATGACATTTGTACTTTTCTGAAGAGTTCAAAGAAAGAAATCTTACATCCCCCCGGTAAGATCGCGCCACACGCATTCCAGCCATCACCTAAATTTTTAATTGGGATTGTCTTTAACAACCTGTGGACTGTATCCAAATTGAGTAGGAATTTCTTGAGAAGGAGACGAGCAAGGGTGATGGTAAACAGCAGGGATTTCTTTCTATGATTTCATCAAGCTGAAGGTTCTCATGAAATTTGATCGGATGGGATTGGATGTCTTGAAAGAGACAAAATGTCCCAATATCCGTTCCACGCAAGCTTCTTTATTAACCTTCATGCTTTCTGTATAATGTGCATTCCCCCCGCCCCCTCAGTTTTCAGCGTTATTGTGTACTGTAAAGTCTCCCCAAATGATTTTTTTACCATAAATATCCCGCAGAGACACCAAGTAAAATATTTGTCAAGACTTAATAATGCAGCCAATACATACAGTGTTGGAAATTAATTTCCTCTGACAAAAATGTCCAAATACATCACGTTCGGCTACCTTGGAGGGTACCGCTCCAGTGCCGAGATTATTATTGACTGATGTTGCATCGCGGCTTCCTCTTATTGACGCCCGCCGCATAACATCTCAAATGACCAATTTGTGCCTGAGTCGAAAAGGTGAACAGCTCCCCTGATCAAATGCATAATCTCGCATTTCAGCTTTGCCAAACATTACGTCACCCCTCCAAGTAATAAAGTGGAGATCTGGTCACAAGAGTACACAGTTTAAGAGCGGGTTGGGGGGGGTGGGTTATTTGGTACACTCTGCATCATTTATCCTCCTGCTGTGTAATTACACAGGCTGGTTTTGTCATGGTGTCACACAGCTTTTACTCTTCCGTGGCCAGGCATTGATCTCAGGAGCTTCCTCATGGCTCGGTGAGACAAGCAGTGAATGAAAATGCAAATACTCGACTGTGTCTTATGTCGCGTAATGCAGATATGGGAAGAGGTCATCCCCTGAGCAGGCCGTGGCGTGGCTGCTGTATGGTGCCGAGCCAAGCCAAGACTCCGAACCACGGTGAGAGATCAAGCTTCAGATAGATTGTTTCGGGAAATTCCATCAAGTATGATCGTAATTCAAGTCAGTCCAATTTGGGTCTGTAATGAATCCAACAAAATACGACAAGGTTCCTTCGTCCTAATTTCATTGTGTTGCTGACTGCACATCTCAAGGCACAGGCACTCGGTACCGGTTATAAGGAAAAGGAATAAATGTGGTTGCAGTGTTGTTGTCTGTGGCACAGGAAGGATGAGGTACTTAACCAACCTGCTTGTGTGTATTATTTTACAGTTTGGACTACAACAATGGGTGGTAATCGCCCCAAAAGGTGACCTGTCCTCCTAAAAAAAAAAAAAATCCAACAACAATCAAACCCTGGGATTTCCTGGAGGGCCAACCCACAGCTAAATAATCTATTTCAATTTCCCAATATGCACGCATGTTTCTCGTTTTGTTTGTCTGCATTTCTTCTCTTTGTACACCTCTTTGTTTTCTGGGCGACAGTGTAAATAATTTGTATGAGGAAACTAACTTTACAATAAAGGAAATAATGGCATAAAAGTGTTGAGTCAATACGGTTTCATTCTGGGGTGGGCTCCGTTGTTTCATTATGCTCTGGCAATCCTTATTTTAGCTTCCCCTGACCAATTAAATTTCGTTTGTCTATGCATCCAATTAAAAAAAAAAGTACAAAACAAACGTGACCCGAAAGCTACAGTATTTTTCGAGTTGGGTGTAATGCAAGTTTCCCACCACTAGAGTTCGCTGTCGAAGCAAGAGACAGGTCATTCATTTCCGCTGACAGCAGGTTCGGAACACGGCAGACTCGCGTTCTCCCGTGTGTGTTGTCGAACACCACCGTCTCGCGTACTCTCCGTCATCGAACCTTATAGAATCACATTGAAGAAACGGGGCGGTTTAAACCCGCAAGGTATTCTTTGTCTTCAGGCACGCCTTCGTTAAAAAAAACAGCGCGTTGAGTGGGTTGCCGTTGGCGCTTGGAAGAAACCGCGCGGATTAACCGAGACCTGCCGCCGCCTCCAGCAGCACCGAGCCGAGTGGCGTCCGCAAGACGTCCTCCGCGACGCGGCAGCCGGATAAAGGTGAGCGGGCAAGCCCCTTTCCCACGGTGGGGACGTCGAACAAAAAAACGGCCAGGCTATTGTTTTCATTTCGTTTTTGTCATTTTTATTTTCATTTTATGCGAGTAATTGTGTTTTACTGATCCCATGACGAGAAAAATCCCCGTAATAAGTAACGCACGAATGGCCATATTGATCCCGCCGCATCCTCTTCAACCAGGCCAATTAGTGGCCATATTAGAAATGTGCTGTGTTCGTGTAATTGACCTCACTGCACTTGTGCAGAGACGTCACGCGTTTCCGTAACCGCGAAATTCATATCATCTCATTATTTTGTGTTTCAAATAATTACGGCTTCTTGACTGTAACTGTCTGTATAGAAACGTACACGATACACTAATAATGAATGTATGGAGTGTGTTTTAAAGGCGTTGGATCTTGCGCATGCGCTCACGCAGGGCACGCGCCTAGTTGTTTTGGGGTGCTCGTGCTAACTGACGTCACGAGTTCGCATTTCTTATATATGTATATATTTATGTGTGTGTAGGCGGAAAAGCCTTTGAAATTACTGTTTTTCACATCACAAAAACCTCCCATTTGAGCAGGGGTGTGTAGACTTTTTGTATCCACTGTATAAACTATACAACACCAGCTTTTGCTGGCAGCAAAGATTAATATACAGTATATGTAACATTTTTTTTTGTACTAATCAGTTTCTAATTTGGATGTGAGAGGATTAACGAACTCCCTGACTGAAATGACAGAATTTCCCATGCATGACTTGTTCGACGTGCATGCTGAATATAGTACGTTAAGTTTGTCCTTTACCTCACATTTCCTCAGGAAGATTTAAATACATTACATCACTTTCAATTATGTGATGTGCCTTTTTATAGTACCGTGTGCGCATTCCGGACTATTTTGGTGTTGTTCATAACAATCGTCAGCATCTCCTGAACCACATTTGTTATTGACGACCGAATCATCTCTTCAGGTTATTTACGTATTATACACACTTAAAAATAGTGCAATGACTTTTAGAAAATGCTAAAAATATGTATTCCTCCAAACACACACACATTGAAACATCTCAGCAACTAATGGATGGACTGTCATGGGGTCTTTTGTGTGTGTTGGTTGCTTGGTGAATCTACAAACTTGTCCTCAGGGGGGATTCTCAGCATGTTGCCTTGAGCCATACTGTGCTATTCAGTATACATGACATCCATTTTTTATTAGAAGCTGCTCATATTCTATGGGGGTTACTTTAGGTATGACGGCGGTATGCGGTGTCTGGTTTATTATTCGGGCATTTTGTGAAGAACATCTCGAGTGGTTGTGATGCGATCTTTTTCTGGTCGCGACGTTCACATGCCGCGTACTGTAAATCTTATCAACTCTGTAATTATGACGAGCACGGTCAAATCTTCAAATAGCATCAGTTTTAATTCCGTCCTCATTATTCTACGCCGTTTCCCTTGTTGCCATGGTAATGCACCCGGGGGATGGGTGGGGAGGTGGGGTGAGGAGCTGCTCACGGTTGTCTTGGATACGGCAGTTTTCTCTGTAAAGTAATGAGAGGAGTTGAACCTGTGGGAGCACGGGGTTATTTTTAGGCCTGACGCCAGGCTCCATATGTGGATTAAGACCTGTTTGGCTGCTGCTTTTGTGTGTGTGTCTTTGCACGCTGCTGCATTGTGGGAACGCCTTGAGGCGGTTGTCATATGGACACCTGGGCCGGCCCTTGGCATTGTACAAGGCCCAGAATTCAAAATATTCCCATGACCAGGACTGAACGCTTCTGAAAAGTAATCTTATTAGCGATCCCCCGATCAATGTTGCCATTTCGATTCAATATGCGACTGTTTTTTCAAGGGCTTCTTCCCATGCATTTTTTTTTCTCATTTTATCAAACACAAGCAATAAATGAGTCTGTCATGTCTCTAATTGAATGGAATGAATCATCTGTTATCCATTTTTTTTCATTGAAATTTTTGTAGGGTAATGTAAGTTCAATGTGGTTTAGTAATAAAGCGTGTGTGCAATTTTTAGGGTTGAATCTATTAGCACAGGCAATTGTCAACATTTTTAGGAGGGGGCGTCCACCTTTGCTTCGGTGCTCGGTCCTTAACGATGAAGTTTCACTGCACCCTGCAAAGTTGAACACCGAAATAAGCAGCTTGACATTCAATGTGCGTCTCAATCAGGTGATCAACATTGCAGAGCATGTCGGTGCCATGCCAGTTGGGGATGATGCAATGTTGATCGAGCAGTTTGCCGTAGGCGTGACCGAACATCGCAAAGTTTGCGAAAAGGACGAGGGAGTAAAAATCCAGGCGAGGCCTCTGCATGGGCAAGCCCCTTTTTCCCACGGTGGGGACGTCGAACAAAAAAACGGCCAGGCTATTGTTTTCATTTCGTTTTTGTCATTTTTATTTTCATTTTATGCGAGTAATTGTGTTTTACTGATCCCATGACGAGAAAAATCCCCGTAATAAGTAACGCACGAATGGCCATATTGATCCCGCCGCATCCTCTTCAACCAGGCCAATTAGTGGCCATATTAGAAATGTGCTGTGTTCGTGTAATTGACCTCACTGCACTTGTGCAGAGACGTCACGCGTTTCCGTAACCGCGAAATTCATATCATCTCATTATTTTGTGTTTCAAATAATTACGGCTTCTTGACTGTAACTGTCTGTATAGAAACGTACACGATACACTAATAATGAATGTATGGAGTGTGTTTTAAAGGCGTTGGATCTTGCGCATGCGCTCACGCAGGGCACGCGCCTAGTTGTTTTGGGGTGCTCGTGCTAACTGACGTCACGAGTTCGCATTTCTTATATATGTATATATTTATGTGTGTGTAGGCGGAAAAGCCTTTGAAATTACTGTTTTTCACATCACAAAAACCTCCCATTTGAGCAGGGGTGTGTAGACTTTTTGTATCCACTGTATAAACTATACAACACCAGCTTTTGCTGACAGCAAAGATTAATATACAGTATATGCAACATTTTTTTTGTACTAATCAGTTTCTAATTTGGATGTTAGAGGATTAACGAACTCCCTGACTGAAATGACAGAATTTCCCATGCATGACTTGTTCGACGTGCATGCTGAATATAGTACGTTAAGTTTGTCCTTTACCTCACATTTCCTCAGGAAGATTTAAATACATTACATCACTTTCAATTATGTGATGTGCCTTTTTATAGTACCGTGTGCGCATTCCGGACTATTTTGGTGTTGTTCATAACAATCGTCAGCATCTCCTGAACCACATTTGTTATTGACGACCGAATCATCTCTTCAGGTTATTTACGTATTATACACACTTAAAAATAGTGCAATGACTTTTAGAAAATGCTAAAAATATGTATTCCTCCAAACACACACACATTGAAACATCTCAGCAACTAATGGATGGACTGTCATGGGGTCTTTTGTGTGTGTTGGTTGCTTGGTGAATCTACAAACTTGTCCTCAGGGGGGATTCTCAGCATGTTGCCTTGAGCCATACTGTGCTATTCAGTATACATGACATCCATTTTTTATTAGAAGCTGCTCATATTCTATGGGGGTTACTTTAGGTATGACGGCGGTATGCGGTGTCTGGTTTATTATTCGGGCATTTTGTGAAGAACATCTCGAGTGGTTGTGATGCGATCTTTTTCTGGTCGCGACGTTCACATGCCGCGTACTGTAAATCTTATCAACTCTGTAATTATGACGAGCACGGTCAAATCTTCAAATAGCATCAGTTTTAATTCCGTCCTCATTATTCTACGCCGTTTCCCTTGTTGCCATGGTAATGCACCCGGGGGATGGGTGGGGAGGTGGGGTGAGGAGCTGCTCACGGTTGTCTTGGATACGGCAGTTTTCTCTGTAAAGTAATGAGAGGAGTTGAACCTGTGGGAGCACGGGGTTATTTTTAGGCCTGACGCCAGGCTCCATATGTGGATTAAGACCTGTTTGGCTGCTGCTTTTGTGTGTGTGTCTTTGCACGCTGCTGCATTGTGGGAACGCCTTGAGGCGGTTGTCATATGGACACCTGGGCCGGCCCTTGGCATTGTACAAGGCCCAGAATTCAAAATATTCCCATGACCAGGACTGAACGCTTCTGAAAAGTAATCTTATTAGCGATCCCCCGATCAATGTTGCCATTTCGATTCAATATGTGACTGTTTTTTCAAGGGCTTCTTCCCATGTATTTTATTTATTTATTTATTTATTTCATTTTATCAAACACAAGCAATAAATGAGTCTGTCATGTCTCTAATTGAATGGAATGAATCACCTGTTAGCCTTGAGTCTGTCATGTCTCTAATTGAATGGAATGAATCATCTGTTATCCATTTTTTTTCATTGAAATTTTTGTAGGGTAATGTAAGTTCAATGTGGTTTAGTAATAAAGCGTGTGTGCAATTTTTAGGGTTGAATCTATTAGCACAGGCAATTGTCAACATTTTTAGG